TATCGAAAGATAAACTCATTAAAACGTATATTACATAAACGTACAATTTTTGATCTCTCGGTCTTACATAAAATATTAATAAATATCACATAAGTTTTTTTATTTTAGCCCAACAAATACCATGTGAAATTATTACTAAATTGTCAATTCGTATTTTTATCGAGAAGTGATATGATATAACTGCTTATATATTTTAGAATAATTTTAGTAGAACGTTATCTTATAATTATAGTAAGAGCATTATTTTTTTCAATTTATTTTGATTTTATATTTCTATCAAAAGTTTAAAATCATTCTAAATTTTTAGATATATAAATCGTTACTTAGTACTGCTTATGTTGTAAAAATCAGTTTAAAAAATTAAATATTATATAAATTACATAATTAATATTTCACTTCAAAGTATCTTTTTCAAGGTGAATGACTACAATTGTAAAATAACATGTATTTCGCGTATTTTTTTCAGTAAACACGAAGTATTAGATCTTCAGTTAGATTCAAGAGAAATGACGCAAACAAAAGTACACGATAACACGTTAAAGATCAAGAAAACCAAGATACAGAGGTTAGAAAAAGATACAAATGTCAAGCGTTGGATAGAGGAAGTTGTGCATCTGCGGCTACAAGTGCAAATTGAGGAGCTGCATAAAAATATTCTATTCTTTAAACAAGAAAACGAATATATTCGACGTCTCGTAGAAAAATGTCGCTGTTTATCGGAGGATATAAAGAGTTTGCAACAATTGCTACCGATCAGAGACACATATTCCGGTGAGAAATTACATCTAGAACGCGTACAATTTCCTATATTTTTAATTTAGCATATTACACAAAACGTGTACTATGGATAATTATTTTCAGGACTCACGACAACGGTTAAACACTTACAAGTAACGTATCACAACGAGCACGGGATAATAGCCACATTAACCGGGATGTTTCGCGGCTCGATAAACATTCAGCAGATCGCTGCGAAACTATTATCGTTTATAGAACACTGGAATCCGAGAGACAAGTATTTTAGACGTCAAAACGAATATAATCGCACTATCATTAAGTTTCTCGTGTAAAGTTCAAAATTCAACTTTATTATATTTTTTTTTCAGCATGGTAACGAGTCATGTTTCATCCGCTCCAAGAACACAGGCTCCTTTGGAGCCACCGAGTTCCATGATATTCGACGTTTATTAAAACGTTTATAATATACAAATATAATGAACATATGCGTAGCTATTTTGCGATATTGCAAAACGAAAAATATTTAAAAATTCTTTCGCACGTAACATCGTGCGAAATGACGGTTAAACAGTTAATGGCGCGTCATAATGATTTCACATTTGTGCGCGGAATATAGAAGAACTTCCGGCGATCGACCAGATCCTCCAAGGTGTTCAAATCCGGCAGCACAGGTGGGATTTCGAAAGAGAGATTGGAGTGCGTGAATATCAGCGGCGCTTGACTAGAGCTGGAAAACCGGGTGCTCGCGTCGATCTTGTTGCGATTGCTCGGTGTGTAATACGCCTCGGTGGACGTCGGTTGTCTGGGATAGTAAGGATCATATTCCAGCTCGTTAGGTATCAGCGGCTTCAAGGAGAGCGTCAAAGCGTGCACGGGAATGTCCGTGGTGAATTTTACGTAATTCGCATGAGCTTGAATCGATCGTAACGTCTCCGAGTACGGGTGGAAATCGTTGTTGTAACTCGAGGGAGATTTCTCACGCGGAGGAGAATGCTGATTATTATCTTCCGATGCTATCGCTTTCGCGGGCGAAGAATTAGAGAGCGGCTCGTACGAGCGATTCAGATACGCGGCGCCTTTGTCGCGGGTCTCCGACAACGATTGTCTTGGCGCGGTTGATTTGTCGTTACGTGGATTCGAAGTATCGTACTGTTTGGCATGCGTCTGTGCAGTGGGGACTGTCATGCGGTCATTTCTTGCATCAGCGTTGCACGTCGTGCAGGTGTCGGTGACTTGCCTGGCTTGATTCCGCGTTCGATCCTGCTGATTCCTCAAGAACAGACTCGCGCTGAAGACGAAGCCGGATTGAAGCTTATCGGGCGCGGATTTGTCGGGCCGTTGGATCACTCGGAAGGAACGCGAGAATGACAATCGATGATCGTCGAGCGAGTTGATCGATTCCACCGGGGACCTCGGCGAGGAGGCTGCATGCGCGATTTCCCTGTCGATATTCTCGTTTGGAAATTGAGTCGGCGGGTGAACAGTCGCTTGACAGTCGACGAGATAAGCGTGGTCGCATATCGAGGTGTCTTGACGGAAAGCCGTTCCATCGGGGCATCGGTAAGTGAACACGTTCCCGTGATCGTCGCACGTGTAATACACTTTGCAATTCGCTTCGACATCAGCGTAAAATCCCATAGGCCGGTTGTAACAGGAGAAACTCGTTTTAACGGCTGGCGGAGTGGTATTCTGCGTGGGCGAACAATCGTGATTGAATCGTACAGCTTAGACATTTATTCACACTTGCTTGTAATCGAGATAATTTTACGTATCTACGAGCTTATATAAGTACATGCGAGTCCTCGTTTATGACGTCATTAGTGTAATCACAGCTAATCCGATCTAGCATAACGCATTAACGATTGGAGGGTTCTCGTTACTTACAAAAACTTCTTCAGCGTGGACAATAACGACAAACAGCGTGGATCGTAGAAGATACAATTGTAGAGTCCAGAAAAATGCCATTTTTTTTTAATAAAAATGTAAGTTCACTAAAGGATTACGCGAGTTCGATTTAAGCGGAAAGCAGCAGGAGCTCCGCTCCCATCGTCTAGAACATCACTACACGGCGTTACGAGGAGTTCGAGTGAAAGTAACTCGAGGATGAGTCTCCCCCTCCCTTTCGATGCTCTACCTTCCTCTCTTTATCTTTCATGACAATACCTGACACACTGAGGAGGCTGAGTTCCACTTGGAGCTCACAACGCTTTTGGAATCATTGTAATCTTGTTGTTTAGTAAATGAATTAAATAAGGACGAGTGATGCTCACGAGCATTGCGAGTGCGTTGGAACGCACTCTTAATCGTGTATCTGTTGTATAAAATGTTTTTATATGCCTTTTAATGTATAACGTACTTGTGCATTTTGGCAGAAAACGTAAAAAAAACTGTTAAGAACTTTGATTGCATATATTACGCAATGACATTTCAACAACACGATATCGTTACAATGCAGGCACAGTAATGTATTGCTTCTAAAGCAATTAAGTTATCGCGAAGTCTCTCAACGAAACCTCTCGACAAATTGCAAAAAAATCGTACGCATGTATATAAATTTAAATGTTCGCAGCACTTGGTAATCCTATTTATCCATAAGTTTCTATTCTTGACCTCTATCCTCCACAGTATCAAGATTACCCTCCCGATGTATGCGCCACATTCAAGATTCCAGTAAGATCCGTAGGTTTAGAGATTGGTTACACGAGAAAGTAATTAGAATTCCATTTACACAAGTACATGCAACAATAAAACTAATTTTCATTTCAAACTATGGAATTGAATAATTAAAATAAGTTAAAGAATCGAATTAGAAGAATCTTTTCGTGTTTCTATCTACCCATATTATCTCTATGTTTTTCTTATCTACTCATATTCCTATACCTATCCATATTTTTAACTGCCTAACTATTAAATATTTAATTATATCATTATATTCCTACCTACCCGATAATTAATTAGTCGCGATCGCGATTATCCGAGATTACGGAAATGCATCAGATTTTAAAAAGAAATTTAAGAAAGTTTAAAAGAGGATGTATGAAATTTTAAAAGATAAAATTTTAATTCCGCAAGGATACATTGGAATTAAACTGGTTTAAGGTTTAAGCGAGATTTCATCTAAAAAACACCTTTCACAGTCTCCAATTATTACGTGCAATCACACGTATGTGCAAGAATTATTATAGAATCTTACCTCATGTAAGTTTACATTATATTGGCGGTGTTTTTGAACACCGACCTACCTTGTAAAAATCCTCTTCTTTATCCTGTCCAGTTTGGACTCACCTTATTAGGCTGGCCAGGACCACTCTGGCATATAGCCAGAGACACAAAGGAGAAACATTCCTTCTATGCCGGCTGATCATAGCCGATAAATGAGCGTAATAATTTTACGCTCTTTCTCACGATACGCGAAACGCGTCGCGAAAGGCCATATCAAATAAATTATATAGAACTACCAGGAATAAGTTTAAAATATTTATTATCTACTTTACACGCGTGATAATACATTCGATCAAAAATAAAAGATATTAACTAATCAGAACCTTTTAAAAAGAAAACTTTCAATCACAACCATATAATCTAAATAAATCGGATTACTTTCCGCGAATGTTAAAACTCTATTATAAATGTTAAAACTCTATTATAACTCTATTATAAATGCGATATAAATATACGAAACTTTAATAACAAAAAAGATGCAAAATATAAATGAATGAAAACTGATAAATGCAAACTAAGAAAATCTAAGGCCTAATACTTTCATCGAATCATCGTTTCGAATATCGAGTCTCACCTTAAAAACATGCAGGTAACAAAAAAATTTATGACGTGAGATCCCAAAGGAATGATATAAATAAATTTCCCGTATAATTATGCTAGTATGAATATTTTATGCACTCGAACGAACATAATTTGAATTTCGATAGCTACATCTCGTCACTGTACAAATATTTAAGTATTAAATATAATTTAACAGATGACTGCAAATTATCTGTTAATACGTTAGTTTATTTTGTCTTCAAGTTAAAAGTATCGTAAAAATAATCCAAGAACAACATCTTTATTATTTTAGCAAAAAGCGTGCTATATATTAAAAGTATTTTTTATAAAATATATTTAAAGTATTTTTTATAAAATATATTTAAATTATTAAAAGTGATATAAATGTAAAATGTACCTTCGAGCCGATCCTGCTTGGCCTGAACCAGATCTCCGATGCTGCATTTGCCTTTGCCGAATTTGAGAATCGGTAACGTTTTGCATCTGGATACAAGAAATATAATACCGTCAACTAGATCAAGAGCAAATTAATACATATTTGCAAATTAATTCGTTAGATTACTTTGTCTTTAAATTAAATCTATTGTAAAAAATAATCAAAGATTAATTTTTCTATTACATTAGTCATTTTAGTAAAAATATTCAACATGATATACTGTTACAATAATTAATTAAATTGTAACGTTTCTTCTAATTAAAGAATCACTTTATGCATTTGATTCATATTAACATGACGCAAAAGAAGTGTATCAATGGTAAAGAATACAATTTCATTTGTTGTACGACAAATTTTCGAAGTATAAATATTGATTAACTGCGGCAATTTAGAAGTTCTCAAGTCTATAGAAATTTTCTATCTAAGCCAATAAATTTTCTAGTCAATAATTACGTGACAATTTTGAATTTGACAAATTATATAACAGATGAGATATTAATAGCAATAATCCGATCACACTGATCTGACCTGCGCGCTGATGCGCGCGGAGCGACAAACGCGAATGGCCCACGCGCGGTACGCGACTTTCCGGCGATATAAAAATTAATATTTGCATGTCCAACGCAAAACCTATCCCTACGAGATATTACTGTCACTGATCTATCATCGCACTTGTAACAGTATTAGGCTCGACGAGAATATGAGACGTGTTTAATCTCGGCTGAACTTTGATCGAATTCGTGCCTAAAAATCTACGATATTATTGCCACTGAACTATCGTTGTACTCACTTGTGACAGTATTCGGCTCGACGAGAATACGAAATGTGCTTGATCTCGGCTGAACTTTGATCCGAATTCGTGCCCACGATGAGAGAATTATACAACCCAGACGCTCGGCTCATAGAATCCAAGACACAGCGTCCAAGTTCGCGGCGCGCGCTACGCTACACAGTACCAGAGAGAAGCGTGAGAACGGCCACGCCAGCTTTCTGGGACCGGCGATCTCCCTCGTACACTAGCGCCCCACGTCCACGTTTTCAAAAAAGGAACTACGTACCACGTCTATCTTATAACATTGTCGATCAAATCATAGCACGAGAACGGTGGTTCGTGTCCATGCTACATCCACTCTTCGAGATAGACTGCTAGGGCATTATTCTCGAAAAATTGCGCATTCGAAAATCATGTCCTCTCTCAGATTACGGATATTTCCAGCAAGTAACACAATCTTCAATTTTGTTCCGCGTCATGTATATTGTTTAGATCTATTCCATGCTATATGTACAAAATATAACTAATGTGTAAATATACTCACATATATCGTTGTACTCAGGTCACGATCGTCCTTCCTCGGATCTCGCTTGTCCTTCGACGAACCGCAATCAATCTCCGTCGCCTCTGTCTCGATGACCTCGGACATTGTGCTCTGACTGATGACGGATGTAGGCTCGATGAGAATTCGG